TAGATTATAATTGGTTCATGTATGGTATGTTGGTTGCAATGTATCATACAAGCCATTAAAGTAGATTTTTAGTCTTTTGAACAATATTATTGATGTTTTTTTAAGATTTAGGGAAATTGTCTAAAACTTACCTTGACTTTTCAGCATTTCTCTTAAACTCATCATAACTTTTCAAAACGTCCAGGGAACCCCATGTCAGTAAAAATTTTTTTTTTTCCAAAACTCACCACCTGTTAAAGAACGGTTAATATTCACTAATAGAAGTTGTTTCTCATGACCAAACTGCCCGTGAATTAGAGAAAAAGGCTCATTTAGTGTTAGATTTATTCTCCTAAAACTCTCTCTCTCTCTCTCTCTCTCTCATTTTGTTGATCTTCTCTTTGCCTCTGTCACTCAGAATTTCCAGCCCTGCACCATCTCTCTCTTTCTCTTCACTCGGGTCTCTAGATGCCGCATCGATCATCTCGCTCAGATCTTCTGGTCATTCATAGTCTCTCTCTCTCTCTCTTTTCACTTAGATCTCTAAGGTAGACGTCACACCACCCTCTCTCTCTCAGATCTATAGTAGATGGGCACCACACCGCCCTCTCTTTGCTTAGGTCTCCAAGACGCCACACCACCCACCTTCACTCATATCTATAGTAGGTGGGTGCCGCACCGCTCTCTTTGCTCAGATCTCCTAGATGCTGCATCACCCTCTCTCACTCATATCTACAATAGGTGGGTGCTACACCACCCTCTCTTGCTCAAATCTATAATACGTGGGCACCACATTCTCTTTGTCTATCGCTTAGATCTACTGTTTGAAGGCCGCTGCCACACCACCACTATCCCTCTCTCACTCGCTCATATTTCTGCTTTGAAGATGTGGAGGAACAGATATAATGATAAAAAAATTTTAGAGATTTCTAGTGTTTTGAAATATTTGCATTGTATTGTAAATTTTTACAACTTGAATCTAGAATGTAAAACTTCATTGAGGGCTTTATAAATTTATGCAAAAATAATTTTGTAAATTTTTATCTGATTGTCTAAAATATTTTTTGAAAATTTATTGCAATATCCCTTGGAATATTGAAATATTTTTTGAAAATTTTTGTTTGGTTATGCTGAAAATTTTTATCATTTTATTAGTTTATCTGCAATTTTTTATTTTTTCTAATATATAAATGAGCATTTCTTTTTTTTCTAAAATTTTTAATTTTTTATTACTTTATTTATTTTTTGTAATTGATTTGTTTGAAAAAAAAAGTATCATTTTCTTGTTTTCTATAATTTATTACTCTTTTCTATATAATTTTTTCATTTGATGTATATTTGCACTTCCTATTTTTATCCAATCTCTATATTTTTCGAGTTTTTTTTGTCTTTTTCAGTTTTAAACTTTATTGTTTTTTTTTGCATTTTTAATGTTTTTTATAATTTCTATTTCTTTACATTTTTTTTATTTTCTAGAATCTATAAACTTTCCTGTATTTTTTTTATATTTATTTCAATTTCTGTATTTTTTCTATAATTTTGAGTTTTTTTTCTACAATTTTTATTTTCTAGCTTTGTTTTTCAATTTCTATAGTTTCTATAATTTAAAAATAATTTTTATTTTGTTTGTAATTTCTATAACGTTTTATATTTTTTACAATTTCTGATTTTTTATGTATTTTATGTTTGAAAATATATATACATTTTATATTTTTCTATAAAAGATCAAATAGTAATATATTAACACCAATTTAATCTGTTTAACGTCAAATTAGTGACATGGTAAGTTTTAGACATTTTGAAAAGTTATAATAAATTTAATAGAAATGCTAAAAGTGATGGTGAGTTTTAAACACTTTACCTACCATATCCTAGATTACCTTAGATGAATTCCCATGTATCTCTTAAAATCTGTATTGGGCCCCACACACAAAGTTTTAGCACTGTGTTAGGAATTGAAAGGAAGCGCATACAATTCTGAACATGCCTGCTGGAAAAGTAATTTGGATTTTGGACGGTCCAGAAACGGAACAGAAATTCAACAAGCAATGAATGCAGAATGTAGACGCAAGCAACGGGTTGGTCGTCTCGTGGCCATTTGGGGGGCCGAGCTCTCTCGGGTCAAAGACGGCAAATTTTTCTCTGTCGACGGTGATGTTACACCTTTTTCCCCTTGAAGAGCTTGGTTTCTCCCTGATGGTGTAGCCTGGCTGGATATTGGGATTAACAACCAGAGAGAGAGAGAGAGAGGGACGTATCTATATCACTATATGTGCTTGGCAACTAAAATATGAATTTTCAGTAATGGAGAAGTGAAGATGAAGAATGCAGCACATGCAAATGTGAAGTTATGAGCTGTAAAGCCATAACTTGAGGAAGGAATATAATTCCTGACTTGTTGCTTCTGGGTAGGGACACCCTATATTTTGTTTCAGGAATCAGGATTGAACCATCCCTATCACACCCTCTTCCCGTGTGTAACCAACTGAACTCTAGCATTGTCTGTTGTAGTCCGTATTTGCAATAGGGTCGTTTGTTTTTGCCATTTGGTTGGCTTCTGGATAGAATGACCTGATGCAGAAAACAAATATTCTCTTTCAAGATCCACTTTTACCTTCAAAGGTTTTGCATGTTCTGAGCATGTCTAACAGCATTAGAATGTAGTACTCAATACAAGAAAAGACCCAAATCGTCCCCATTCCAGGTTTACCCACAACCCAAAAGATAAAACAACATAATATGAACAAATGCTTTCAATTGAATGGTATGGATGCTTCTCAAATGCATACTTAATATCTACAGATTTTGTATTAAATATCAATTGTTATAACTTCACAACCCAGTTTTCCAGAGGCAATTAAAAAGAACCTCATATAAAAGAGTTTGTATTATCATTTTTTTCTAGCAAATGGGTTACAAGCACCATCCCCCAAACCTCAAACCCATGCCAACTCTGATGAAGGTGGGAATAGATCCAAATTCACAACAACCAACTGAAACTTTACTGGTCAGCGAGTTGGCGTTGGCACCTTCACCAGAGTTGGTATCTTACCAGGTAGAAATGCTTTGATTATGGAGACAATGACAAGTACGATGTACGTATAACATAAAATAATTCTTCACATGCTTGCGTGAAAGGTATAAACAAAGAATAGGAGTTAATTATTAATTGTATGTACAATTTATGTACAGGCATGCACATGGTATTAACAAAGACTGGATAGTGGAGAGTATTTTATTCATGAGAAAGATACAAAATATAACAATGTAGTAATTTATATCCCCATGGAATTTTCATGTATTATAAGAAAATTCAAGATTATATGGATGATGGGTATATTTTGTTTCCTACTACAATCATTATACTATTAGAGATTACCAAGTATAGAATTATAAATCATGAGCACCCACTGTTTTCGGTTAGCAATTGCAGTGAATGATGTGGTCTAACAAGCTATTTAGTTGGTCTAGGAGGAAAGATCTAACACTCTTAACAAATCAAATGTACCAACCAACAACTTGGTCCTTATTGCATCAAAAGTCAGCATGGAATTGCTTAGGTGGAAAGTGTAAGAGATGACAATAAAAGTAAGTCTCTTCAATTCTTCTGGTATCTAAAAATCAAAAAGTCAGCATGGAATTTCTTAGGTCCATCAATAGTTGACCCAGTATGAAATGTAAGAGATGGCAAAAAAAAAAGGTTTTTCTCTCAAATTCTTCTGGTATGTAATGACATTTAAAGAAATCATGGTGAGAAAAGCTAGATTCAGGTTATTAACCTCACAGAAACTTAGTCACAACCCCATAACCAGGATAAATTGTTATAGATCAAAGAACATATTCTTCTCAAGGGAAGAAGCAAATATTATAATCAGATCCAGATGACAATGCTGCTCCACTTGTCATGAGAATCTCAGTTCAGTGTCTCAAATAATATGATAGTACTGTAGATGAATGAAATTATTGTTTAGCAACTGTTAAAACACATGGAAACCAAAACAATAATAGCCATAACAAGAATAATGACAGATGCCAACAAATGTTTATCTATTAATTTCTTCTGAAAGTACAAAGATGCAAAGAAAAAAAAACCTTGGAACAAGTTCAAGGTACCCGATCTTTTAGATGACTATCCTATATTACTTGCAGTCAACTCTTGTAATGTCAGATTTTGTCACCATCCTTGCTTTGTTATATATATCCAAAGATGTTAGGTGTTCAGCAATTGATGTCTCTCAGTACTGCTGGAGCTTTGACATGGCTCCATCTTATCCATCACATGCCCACAAGAAGTAAACGAAACCCACGATATAAGCAGATCCATGTTGATTAATAGAACAGCCATATGAAATACACCATCAAAAATTTCTAAACAAGCACCGAGAAACCATTCCCTGAATATATGACATCTTATCAACCCTTTGAAGCCTTATATATAAGCTCTCTTTTCCATCATCACATAAAAAGTTGCAAAATATCACACTTTGGAGCCTGATATATTGGCTCAGGACTTATTAGCCTCTAGCATTTGAGCATTAGGAGGGACCATCACTCAGAATTCAGAATCCAGGCTGCAGATTCATGCTTTACATTTTGAAACTTCACCAATACCATTGTTCCCAATAATCAGAGATGGGTATGCCATAAGAAATTACATGCCAGGCCCAAAACCAGAGACAAGATACAGTGCAACTTTTCAAACTAAGAAATTATACTGATCTAATGGAGTGGTAATAAAACTATTTATATAAATTACAGAAATCTTTTATCTAACATTTATCTACATCCAATTAATGGTTAACTGGTAAAGTTCCATCTGAATTCTAGTACTCTTTTCAAGAGATACAAATAAAAGTGAGTGAAACAGAGTATAAAATTTGAGTCACAAAATCCTGCCAAATATCCAGTATAATAGATATTAACTGGTTTACATTGTACAGAGATGCTAATCCAACAATAAAAACAAGATAATGATGATAGCAAACTGTAAACAGGGAGAACTAAAGAAATACACATCAAAATTCAACAGAAGAACAGAACAATTACTGATGACTCAAATGTTTCAAGTTCTATGTAAGTTAAATGAATTTAGCATTTCCAATAGCCTTAACATTGGGAATAAGATAACATAAAATGAAAATGAATAGGAAAAAACAGATCAAAAAATTTAAAAGGAACATCAGAGATGTGCCAATCCTTTTAAATCTGTGATGATAATTCAACAACACAATAATTTATGAACATAAAAGGAGGCCTTTGAGAGAAAGCCTTACATAAATGAACTACTTACTACTCTACACCAATGTGATGTACCAGAAAGTGAAGGATGTGAATGTAAGCCTTGTTCCCTTGTCAAATTGCAACAAGAGATGAAAATGGCCATTCAACTAAACCTCAAGAAGAACTAGACAGGGTCTCTTGCTTGAGCACTAGCTGCCCTGTTATCCTGACAATCAAACCCATTCCTTCTAGTAAATGTCTCTAAGCTTCCTCCAACAGTTCGATTTCTCCTTAATCGGGAGATGCCATCTCCATCATAACCATGAGCGACAGACTGAATTTTCCGCCTGCCAACAAATCCTCCGCTTCCCATTCTATAGCCACAGCCCTGCATTACTACAGGAACAGACTGAGCTCCATCTGCCTCACCCCGGAAACTGGAATCTCCTTCCCTCCCCGCCAGGAGGTCCATTAAATTGTTCCTTGAACCAAAGCCCAAATCAGAGTATACCCTTCTGGAATTCCTCAATTGCCGAGAACTTTTCGTATCCCCCACGTCTCCACTCTCTCCTCCTTGCTGCCTTGACCTTGAACTCAAATGGGTCGCTTCGGGTCCAACAGGGCGACCCACTGCATCTACCATCATGCATGGATTAACAGAGAAGCCATTCCATGAATGGAGTGGAATCGTCTTACTCAGAACAGTAAGGTACTCGACTATCTCCTTCATCGTAGGGCGACGCTCCTTGCTTGACCGCACGCACTTGGCTGCGAGCACCGCCAGTTGCTTCCCCACAGAGGGGTCCTTTGGAGGAGGAATTCTTGGATCATAGACAGCAAGAAGCTTCCCTTTCCGAATAAGTGGTACAGCCCAGTCGACAATTGAAGGAGGAGAATACCCAACATCGATTGCCTTCCTACCACTGATAATCTCCAAAAGGAGAATACCAAAACTGAAAACATCTGTCTTTGTACTCAGATTATCCGGCGTAACATAGCAGGGATCTAGGTATCCGATTGTGCCGGCAGGCGGCGTCGACCGGAGTCGGAAATCATCAACATGGCAGCGCAATGCCAGACCGAAATCACCCAACCGAGCATTGAAATTTCGATCAATTAAGACATTAGCTGACTTGATATCTCTGTGAATTACCGGAGGAATGGACGAATGAAGGGTATCGATAGCCTTAGCAGTCTGAAGGGCAAGCCGAATTCTTCGACCCCAATTAGGCGGACGAGGACTGGTATGAATGACGTCGTAAAGGGTACCGTTGCTCATGAACTCCACGACCAAAAGCCGGTCCTTTGAGTCGTTGGTGAACCCCACCAAATTCACAAGCCGAGGGCTGTAAAGCTTGGAGAGGATATCAATCTCGTTGTCCACTTCATTAGTGCTGTCCGCCGACGACGCAACGCGTGGGGTAGCGCCTCTAGAGGGTTTCTTCACGGCCACGAGGCGGCCACTCCGGAGCACCCCTTTGTAGACGCAGCCATGGCTACCTCTACCCAGAAGCTTCTGCTCTGAGAAACCACTTGTGGCTGCTTCAAGGTCACAATATTCGAACTGTTGGATTTTAACGGGCTTCTCTGATTCTTCCTTGTGCTTGTTCTTCTTGGCTTTAGAGGTGGTGGCGCCGCTGCTGGTGGCGGAGTGGGAATTGGCGGTGAGGATGGCAGAGTCAGCTCTGCAAGACAGATACCCCATGAAGTTCGGATTGGAGAATCCTTGAGAGAGGAGAGAGAGACCAAAACATCAACAAACAAAACGAGGGATTAGTTTAAGAGTTGGCCTTGGGGGGCTGCAAATCCAAATGTACTTGATTTTGTGAACTGTGCTAAAACTACAGGATAAAGAAATTTATCAAGTAATATGGGGATTGGGAATCTGTTCAATGTTCAATGCTCATGCCCACTGGATGGAGGATGCCGAGTGAATTGGAATCATAGGTTTACCGGTCTCCCCTACTATTCAACTCTCATAAACCATAATTATGGTATACCATACCAATCCCCCATATTTTGTCCTATATAATTGACTCTTGGAGGATGCCAGATTGCCAGGATGGGGATAGGAACTTGGAGCTGGAGGATAATAAATTTTCTTGTCAATATATGAGATAGTGGGTCCAGATTTTTCAAGGGCACAGATGGGACTCTAGCCCATTGGATTAGAATCTCTTTAATCTTTGGGTTTTGATTACTATAGTAGTATAGTATACAAAAAAAACACTGCCCGAAATAGGAGATTCCAATCCAATGGTTTTGCAATATTTTAGTGTAAATGCAGCAAAAATGACAACTTGATCTATAAAATATTGCAACAGTGAGAGACTGGACAGATCCGGTAATTGATTGGAGTGACTTTTTGTTCTATAATTACTACTTTTTTGTCACCATGATTTCTCTTTTCTCATCTGTGATTATAGACCATGGAAATTGTACATGAAAATTCAATAGATTTGCTTTTTTTTTCATTTTTTATTTAATTCTTTTTGACAATCATTAACTGTTTGGTTGGTCAAAGTGAAGCAGTAACCTCTATTAAGCGGTCCTTGTATGGCCAGAGGCCCGCAGGCCGCAGCACTTTACTATGTTGTAAAAGCTATTGGTCGGTCGGGCTGCAAGGGAAAGCTTTAAGACTTAAGCCTGACAGGCCCGGGCCCAGGTTTTTTTGTAGATTTAAGCTAGCCCAAGCCGGAGTTCAGCCTGAACCTGAATCTTGCCTGAAATTCCTCAATCCCGGTGGGCTGGCCCGTTTATCGGGGCATCAGCCCTCAGGTTATTAAACCCTCTGCCCTGTGCATTCATGAGACGACGAAGGACGAACTACCTTTCCGAGGAGCTGATGGGCCCGGCTCGCCGACTGTGTCTCCGAGGACTCGGTGGGGTCGCCGGAATAAAAAGACAGTGATGCCAGCCACATATAAGACAACGGGAGCAGGAAACCTGGAAAGCAGGCGGACGGTATAAGTTGATACCGGATGATAGGTACTCGAATAATGATGAGTAAACATTGTTATAATTGAAGGTCTGAAATTAGTAGGCTTGGGCCCAGCACTAATATGGGCTTGGATTGGTTGGCGTCTTGGCGATGCCTAAGAGAGCTTCTGGAGGAAACAGACTCGGAGTAAAAAAAATTTCACCCTATCAGCTTTAATAGCAATAATGTAATATAAGCTATCAAGGTCTATACTAGTAAGCTACATATATGATCTAATGATCCAACAGCTACATCAATTGCTGTGATTTGATATGAGCAGAGAGATGCAAATGGGTCGGGTTACCCAATAGAACCGGACCAATTGAATCAACTGGTTATTGATTTGTGTCCTGGGTCGTGATTGGTTCTTTCTTTTCCAAATCAATTCAGATCCAAATTGGTTATGTTAATATGGGTAAATTTCATAAATAATATATAAAATATTTTGGGTAAAAAACATTTGTTTTAGCTTACTATTTACTCTCATTTTCATTCAGGTTATATAATGAAAATGGGTTGGATTATAATATTGAAAAGGCATGATACCGAAAAAAAAAATTGAGAGAATGGCCAATATCCCTTGGGTCAGAATTTGTAAGTTTAATATAGGTCGGAGTAGGTATCAACTTGGAATTAATGCCAATTCACAGACAGGCATAAATGCATAGAGTATAGGTATCGGTCCATTTGAATGTTTATAGCCCTGCAGTGTGAATCAAAAATCTGCATTGGACAAATCTGTACTTTTCAGAAAAAAATTTCAACCAATCAACCATCATAAAATGCTAATCAGTCAGGTGGTTTTTTATCGAATTCAGGGGGAGGGGATTTATTGGCTAAAGCTCTTTCGGTATTATTCGTTTTCGGTAGCATAAACTTTTTCCTATCAATAATCAAAATTGAAGTTTCAACTTTCCAGTCATTATGATGATAGGCTATGTATAGATGACAAGTACAATCGGGACTAATTAGATCCGACCCAACTATACTTTTTCTGAGTCTATTTTATAGAATCAAATTAATAATCGGTTTGGGACTGTATCCACAGTATCCGGATTCCCGAACCAGAGCAGGTCCATAATCCATTGACAGATGTAGAGATGATTCATGATTCTTTTGGGATTTCAGATTTGATCTTGGAGCTAACCAACTATTGCAATAGGATAATTGGCAAATCTCCCAGATCACACATTTTCCTTTTCATGCATGGCAAGTGATGTCTTTTCGTCTTCTTTTTAATAATTTCTTAATGTGGGGTCCTACAAATTCCCTGGAAAATCTTTTCCCCCTGTATATGAACAGCTTCTTCCTAGGTCTGGGCTCTGGACCAATTTGTCATGGACCACATGCAGTAAAGAGCTGGGCCCATTTTCCAGACAACCTTTTCTCACTACTTTCATATTACAGGAATGATTAACAAAAAAGCTCTTCCATGAATGGATCAATCTTTAATGGGTGTGGGCTTTGAAACATTGACATTGTGAGAAGATGGGTTCTCCACTTTACCTTTTCAGGGTGTGCTCAGGAAAACAAATTGGCTGGGCCTAAGCAAGCTTATATGCAAACCAAACCGGGTTTGATTATTAAAGAGGCTGTTGTGTCTCTTGTTCTTGTTTTCTTGGGTAAGAGGGGGTTCACTCTTCACTTGCCATACGCCTACTACACTTGTGGATAAGGATAGATCCTTATGAGTTTGTCTTTTCTGAGGGTCATCAAGTATACAGAGACCAAAGTGGCCAGTCTACCTTATCAGGTCTATACCGCTTGGACCTGTCAGTGGTTGGATCTGCCTAGAATAGAATAAAATTGAAATATTCAGATTTCAGATTCAAGGCTAAGAGGATTAGACGGAGACGGATAGACTGATAGAGAATACTCGATCGAATCGTAGTTGATGACAGTGTAACTGGTAAACTAGAGATATCTTTCCATAATAACAGATAAGATACCTAGCCTAAAGCTGGCTTAATTTGTTTTATTTACGCTGCTATAAAATAATGTGGTCCCTATTTTATATGAAAAGAGATTGGAGAAAGAGTTATAGGATTTTGAGAGTGTGCATGGCAGGAAATAAGATGATATCATGATCTCCACTTTATATGAGAGAATTGAGGTATGAGCCTATGAGGAATGTGGTGCAAATTTTGCATCAGATTTTTAGATGAAAAATTTGCACTGTCGGTAAAAGCAAATGAGACAAACAAACCCATTAAGGATGCATTTGAACCCAACCCAATCCCTCCCTGACACAGTCCCACCCGTTAGTTTATTATACAGAGTGAGAAGTGAGAAAGAGGGAGAGAGATTGCGTTCGGTTTTGGTTGACACAATGGGAAACCATAACTCAACCCATTTTACTTTACTTAATTGGTGGTTTAACCCATGTCCAACACAATAAGTAAATGGGTGGGTTTGGGTGGATTGTGAATGGGTGAGTTGGGTGGGTCGGGATGGATTAATTAGAAATTGGCAAATTGTAACCCCTCCTTCCCTTCTCATGTCATATCATCATTGTTAAATGAATCCATCCCCATGTGGATGTGGCCATGTGATACATAGATCCTGTTCCTTTTTTTCTTTTGCAAGAAATACAATATTATCATCATCATATCTCATCCCAACTATATGGGGTGGACAACATAAATCCTGTTTGGCCAATAAATTTAATGCTGCCAACTTTCTTTTGGGATCACCTAACCAGACATCTTTCCCTCAGATCTAGTTAACAATCAATCAATCTTCACAACAAATTCAGCAATCTCGATCATGGCATGACATGCTAATGAAAAGGCCCAAATCAATCGTTCTATCTTGATGACAGATTGATGCATCAATCAAATGTTGAAATATCCAGGTGGATCAATTAGCTTACCACCTCCTTTGGAACTCTACCAACAATTTGATTAATTGAAACCAAAAACTACTCTCCACATGGTGCCCTAAATCACCAATCATATCTTGCATGTAATTTGGATGGTTTGGATTCATTGAGAATCAACTTGATCTTAGCACATCATTTGGGGGGGGGGGCAGGTCTACAGTCTGAGAATGCAAGACACGCACTGGACAGCCTGGATTGATAATCAACCTAGCTAATTTAGATGTTGGTGCACTGTTAATTCACATTTACTTTCTGGGTGTCATCTTATCTTGAAAATACAGAACCAAAGGCTGGTTTGGATTTTGGAAGTCTTCTGAAGCATTAATTATTGCTTAAAAGTACATTGTTTTCTCATTTGAAACAGAAGAAGCATATTTTATTCACCAACCATCTAATACAACAAGCTCAGAACTGACAAACAATAAACAAATCTATGTGGATTACATGCTCAGAAGTCAGAACTGAAAAGACAATAAAAAATTGTGCACAACCTTAATAATATTTATCCAACCAGCTGTGGAGCTCAGTTGCCAATCAACTGTCTAGAAAATGAACCTTTGACTCTTCCCAAAGCTGCTTTCCTGTGTTGCAGCAGCATAAGCGATCCATTATCTCATCTATGAGCTTCAACCTATCATCTGTGTTCCTTTTGAAGGCAGTTGGTTGAAGCACAAAATAAAGCTTTCATATTTTGTATCCCACTATGTACTGTTTGCTCACAAGAAAAAAGATGATATATGTAGTAGTTCAACATCTTCACCATTTTCTGCCAATAAATAGTACCCTTTGAACAGAATGTGAAGCAGATGAAGTTTTGTTTTGTAAAGCACAGTGGAAAACACTAAAGGACGCATTCGTAGCTCCTTTTGCATTTATTTTTACCAGTAGCTATATTCAGATATTGTACCCCAAATGCCTAACTTCAGCTTGCCATTGACAGTAAAATAGTAAATGAATATTAAAGTTCAGCTAGTTGCAACCATCTCTCCAAACTGCTCCCCATTTTTGTTTACATTGCAGAAAGATGCAATTACAGGTGCTAGAATAAGGAAGCTCATCCTTAAAAGACATGTTTCTCAATTAGAAAAATC